CCCTGCATTTTTAATTAAATCCTTTAACCCCGAAATTAATTCCAAATTAATTTCTGATTAAATATTAATTAAATAATATGATTTTTAGTTAATATGTTATTTCCATAATATATTAATAAATCATTTATTTTGATTTCTAATTAATTTATTATCCAAGTAATAAATTAATAAATCACTCTTCTCTCTCTTAAAGTTATCCTATTCAATTGCCAAGTTTGAAGGCAACCCAAAAGGACTGTGCTACAATCAATTCAAGTTTATACCAATTATAGTTATGTGCTTAGACACCTAATCCAATAGTTTCTGCCTCAAGAAGTGTGTTTGGCTGGGGTGAAGGTGTGATGTGTGTCTGTGGTTCAGTGACCTTGGTTGTTAATGTGGTCAGTGTGAAGGCATGAATTAAATTGATTAGGCTAAATGGTGTTTCGTTTCCTGCCTGGGATGCTTGTGTTTTTTCTTGCATGTTTATATACGGATGTCGCCAATGTTGCTACGTAGATCCCCGGATGCTTCTGGTAGTCCCTCTTAGAGCCTTTTCCAATGAGCAGTCCAAGTAGCACACTGCATGGTATGTGACAAGTATAGGTTAGAAAGCTATACCAAAGGCGGACCCTCGATATTTCTCTCCGTTGCCTAAGTTCGAAGTCATGTTTAATGCTTTAAGAGTATATGAATTGTTTAGAATGTTCCTTCCTTACATTTCAATGAAGTCTCGTTCTTAGAGCAAATATTTTGTAACGCCCCAAAATTAAACCCAAATTTTTCGATTAAAACTTTAAGTATTTATTGAAATCACCGCTGCAAGATCTTAAAACATTTATTACAGTATCATTAAAAGTAATCAAGTACACAAGTCCCCTATTGATGCGATGCAATCGAGACGTGACCCTCCTTTAATATAAGAAAAACCTGAAACATGTAAACCGCAAATCGTAAGCACAAAGCTTAGTGAGTTCCCCAAAATACCACACACAGAATAACACAAATAAACAGCTATGTGTTATTAGCAACCCTAGGGACTATCAGCAGTCCTAGTAGGCTAACAACATGCCCGGTGGGTTATCAGCAACCCTGGAGACTATGAGTAGTCTCAGTCACCAATAAACAACATAACATAATAATAATAGCTAGACTCAACTGGTCATCACAGATACATTTATTCTACCAGGTAGGCTCATATAAACATGCAAGAGTCACAAAGACAGCTAGCATCCTACATACACAATTTAGTGAGCCGGCATTGGTGCCTTCGACTCACGATCACCGGGAGAAGACTCACCTCTACTGATGATAACTGAAACAACACTCGATCCGTGGCGAACACTACTCCTCACGCTAAACCAAAACCAGAAACAACCCAATCAATAATTACGGTTTAACCTAAACCCATGGTCTAGCCCATTCATCATCATGATGAGGGCAAAAGACCATTTTGCCGTTATATACAATCCTAACTAAACTAAGCCCAAAATGCCTAATGGCCCAAGGCCCAAAATTAATCCATTGGGCTTATGTTGAGAACGCATGGCATCCATCATAGAACGCTTGGTGTTTGAATTCCTGGCGTTCCATGCCAAACGTCTGGTGTCCGAACGTTGGGTGTCCCCATGCAAACGCCTATCGTTTGCTCGCTTATTACCAAGTTCCAAACCAATGTCTTAATGGCTTAAGATCTCATGTCCAAACTTCAGATCCTATCATAATGGAGCCCAACACCAAGATTCTAACTCAAAATCAATTATAAGGCTCCAAAACTCTTGCATGGAAGATTATGAAGACCCAATATTGCATTTTTATGATTCTAGACTCACTAGTATGCTTGAAAGGAAAATCCAAACCTCTAAAGCATTCCAAACTCACAAAGATCAAGTCTTTGGGACAAAAAAAACATAAATTAGCCCTAAATCAAGATCTAACAAATAAGACATCAAGATCTGAAGTTTATACCTTAAAATGATGCTCCAAGATGTCAAGAGTCCAGACCCACAAGCTAGAGAGCAACCACAATACTCCAAAGATCTTCCTTCTCTCATCAAGAACACTAAATGATACCAAAAAGATGAACCAAGGATTCAAACTCTCATACACGCTTAGGGTTTTCGAAATGAGGATGGAGGTTGGAGTGGTGAAGGGTTTTAAGGCCATAATGTTCTTTAAATAGGGTGCAAACCCTTAAAATTAGGGTTTGGTCTCTATGTTTAAACGTCTGGCGTCCATTATAGAACGTTTGGCATATGAATGACTGGCGTTCCATGCCAAACGCCTGTCGTCCGAACGTTGGGCGTCCCCATGCAAACGCCTGACGTTTAGACAAAAGTCCTCATCATCGGGATGTTACAGGTTTGGACTAGTTTTTGGCTTCTTCTTGTGGGTTTTGCATTAATCTTCCGGTTACGATGATGAGCTTCTTTTTCTATTAAAATAGTCTTGCTTTTCCCGTGTTTCCTGAAGATTCTTTATAGGGTATGTACGATGATAGAGTGATTCTTGCTTTAGTGCTCGACGTTCAGGTAGATGATCGTGCTTTGGGCAGGCAGGCCGGGTTGCTCGACTGACCTGGTTTTATGTGGACTGGTGGCCCTACCCCATTAGAAACTGAGATCACGAAAACGTAAAAACAAATTACATTGAAACGTAGAGACTCTCGAATTTATACCAACGCGTACATAAAAAAGTAAGTTTTTTCATTAAATTAACAAACGAAAATTTTAAATTTACGTCGAAACGCTGACCACGTTGAATTTATAACGACACATAAATAAAAATAATTGTGTATTTATCGGTTTTTTAAGTCAACAAACGAAAGTTATCAAGAAATATCAAATTATATATATTACGGAGATAAACACGAGAGTTTAAAAAATAGATGAAGTGAAAGTAATATTTTATAGATGAAGGGTCAAGGTTCAATTTTAAAAATTTTAGAGGTTGAAAATGTCATTTTACAAACTGGTTTAAAAATTAAAAGAGTGCAAAATGTCAATTTAAAAATAAAAGGATTTGATGCAAGTAATGGCTCTACGGACGACTTGCATTTAGTATATAGTAAATGGCAAAATCAAAATAACGGTCCCGGGTTATTGTTTCCAAAAGGGCATAAAAGAAAAAATGTATTTTATTAAGTGGATGGATAACAATTTTAAGTGAAGTTGTCAGAGCTCCTTTTAAGTAGGCATGAGGTTTTATTGAGAACAAAAACCTTAAAAATCATAAAAATATATAAAAAAAATACTTAAAGATCAAAAAAAAATTTTTTGTTGACTTTGTCTTATTAAAAATCACAGCTTTTTATATAATTTTGCTGAAAACCTTTTTGAAAAAAACAAAAAAAAAATAGATTTTTAAATTTTTTTCAGCGAATTTATAAAAAAAAGCTGCGATTTTTCATAATATAAAGTAAAAAAAAAATCTGTGATCTCTAAGTATTTTTTTATATATTTTTATGATTTTTAGGTTTTTTTTTGTTTTCCATTTAATCTCTCTCCCTATATATATATATATATATATTTTTATATATATGGGGCCCATGGAGGTTTGGTGACAAAAATGCCCACCAACGAAATTAAAATGGGGGTTATACATGCCCCACTCTTATTATTATTTTTTTTTAAAACAAATACTTTTGTAAGGGATCGGAGTCCCACGAGACTTTTGGCATCCTTAATATAAACTATTTTATTTTTTTGTATTTATTGTAATTTAAATTTTATTAAGATTTTGAAAGTAGATTATAATAGCTTATTAATTAGTTTTTTATTTGCTAATTAAGATAACTTAAAAGGTTGAAGGGTACCCTATATATATGGCCCATCCATGTGGCAAGGCCACCATGATGGTGCACACAACCCTATCGATGCCATGGTGCAATGGTCATTATGAGGTCACAATTTTGATGTCTTCATCCGGTGCTCAAACAATACGAAAATCAAAACCTACCCATAAACATATTCCTTATGTAATGTTTGGTATGAGTTGTTGAAATGTCGAAAATGACTTCTTCGCGAAGAATCGATTTCTTTTGGTTTGAAGCATTCGAGGAAATCTCAATCATGTAAGCATTCACAATATTCGGATAGGTGGACATTTATCAACATGTACCACGAGTTGGGTGACCACGAAGCAGAAGCTAACACCTCTACATCGGTCGATTAGAAGAAATAAAGCGAAGAAAGCGACTTCTAGTTTAGGTTAAAAAAATTTAGAGGCAAGCGGTGTTGATCATTTTAAAGATAAATTTGACCGATATGTCCAACTCTAAGAGCGGAAGGTTGAGATATGAAGGAAGTGAAAAAAAGTATAAATAAACACAACTTCGAAAACAAAAAAAATGGATTTGGAAATTTTGAAAATGAAAGCCGAAAATTACGAGGAGGGACCAGGATATATCTCTTGCGATAAAACAAAACATCCAAGAATAATAATATATGTATTTGTAATTTTATTTCGCAGTGTTCGGTAATATTTTCTATGTTTTTAT